ACAGCCCTAGACACGGCCAGGGGCAGTTCTCTCCTGATCTCCAGAGTTCATCTCCATGACAGGGAGTTGTTTGTTTCAGTGTACAACAAGAAAAGAGACGGTTTAGTCAGAAACAGTGAGTAAGAATAGAGATGTCACAAAAGCCTATGGGTATAGAAGCTTGAGCAACATGGAACTAATGGATCAGATGCTGATGAGAGGTCGGTTAGGATAAAGATTGAAAAGGCTCCACCATCTTTGGAAATAAGATCATCGGGCCACTATTAGAGTATGAGAGCAACATCTAAATTGCGGAGAGCAGGATGCTTATGTGAACAAATGTGGACAGCATTTATTCCTATATTAACAGCACATATGATATTCTTTTTCAAACTGCGGAATTCACAGAGTGGGAAAGACAATTACATTTTCCTTTTTCTATATGACTGCAGAGATTTTCTCCTTTTAGGCCCTGCCCAATTGGTCGGTCAATAGCTCCTCAAAGGATGTTTCCCCATGAACTTGTCATTATTTTCCACGATAACCTCATTCTTCCTACCTTAGTTTCCAATGTCATAATTTTAAAAAAACCATGTAGTGATAATTTCCATTCAAAAATCAATGGAATCTACTTCACTTTTGTCTACTTATCAATGTAATATTGCCATATAACATTAGCGTAACATAATTCTAAACATTTATGCACAAGTTTTCTTCACAATTATTTTTCCTTAAGAGTGACTTCAAATATATTTATGTTGTTTGATTATAAACTTTCAAAAGGTTAAAAGTTATAAACGAATGCATCTCTAACATCTCTAACGCCCCTTCAGACAAGGTCCGACCACATAAAAGTGTCTGGTCCCATCGGGGTTTTTGTTCATGATTTCCCCTTAGTGGCTTGACGACCCTTCATCCAGACTCTGCAGCACTGCACGGAGGCAGAGCTCTTGGGCATTGACTGGTGGGCAGACTAGTGAGGCTGTGGGGCCAGGCTTTTCTGTTGCTCAGTCTGGTAGCATAGGGACTGGACTCGAGCTGCTTGATTCTCACTCACTTGCTCCACTGGTGTCCTCTCTCCTGAAGTTGCTGCCAAGGTCAGTTCCTCTGGCTGCTGACAGGAGGCTCAGCAGCAGCAACCATGGAGAGACAACTGGAAATGGGATCCCAAAAGGTTTTAATATGGTGTCCACCTAACACTCAAGGCATATAACATCATATCTCACAGAACATATCATGGATGTTAAATGATGCACATCTGTATGCCAATAGGTTAACACTGATTATATATTAGTAGCAGGAAGCGTCTGTTTAATTTTCAAATTTTTACATGGAAATACTGAGGATATTTGAAAATACAAGGGAGGCTTTAAAAAGTTTATGGGAAAATTCCTGTATCTTTTAATTCCATTTTTTTAATGCTTCTTCCTTTTTAGAGTTGTATTACTTAAAAAAAAAAATCTTTCCTAAAAGGATTGATGGTATATTTTTCCTGTATACAACCTTGAGTTATAGTTCTAGAATTGAGGATAGTAGATGGTAAGTCTCAAACTTTCACACTATTATCAATCAGGTGCATTACGAATGCCCATCTAGAAATTCTTGAGAATAAATGTAAGGGTTTGAAATGCTGAAAATAGTACTTTTTTGAAGGGAAATTGAGAGACAAATATATTCGTAATCTTTGAAGTATAGTCAGTTCCCAATGATTTATCCATGTGGGAGACCATTTCCTTCCAGGTGGGAGTTTCTCAGTCCTTTTGAGAAACTCTCATTGCCTGGGTCCAGTGAAAAAGTGTGCCACCCATCTTGTTGGCTTCAAAAGCCACTCTTCCAGCCCCGCCCATGTAAATGGGTGGCATTGCTCATGATCCATCCTGGAAACATGATCCTTGCTATTAGCAAGGATAATAATCAGATGAATGGAGGTTAAGAGATTATGTTAAAGATATTCTGAATGGCACTGACTAAAATTGGCTGTCATCTCCTCCATTTAAATGGCATTTAGCTCTTTGTTGTTATGTTGTGATGAAATGAAAAGTATTTTAATATCCTAATAAGTTCCATTGGTTCCAAATGGAGTCCAGTGTTCTTTTCCATTTAGACAGTTGTGCTTACTTTTATGTATTTTATTAGATGAGTTTCTGAGCTTTCACACTTTTCTATGCGGTACAGTAGCTACATAGGAGGGAGAGGGGAGGTTAGGGGTTCAAGAGCACTTGGCTCTGGGAGGAGGTCTGATGGCACAATAATAAAGTGCTCTGCTGCCAACTGAGCTCACCAGCACCCCATACTTCCTTAACGATTTATGGTCCTTGAAACACAGTGGGGGCAGGGCTGTGGCCAGGAGTGTAGGTTCTTGGAAGAATGGCATTCTCCTCTGGCTCTGTCATTAACCAGGTATGTTCCTCTGGACACACCTCTTCACTTCTTGGCACTTTCGTTTCCTCATTTGTAGGATGTGAACATCATCTACTCACATAACTGAGAATGAACCTCTTTGAATGTATCTAATAGAACACCTGGTACAGAGTAAGAGCCCATGTATGTCTGTCAGATTGCAGCCTAATATAACATAGGCAGAAATAGTATAGAAAGACATAAATGATAATGAATACTTTCTGATATAATCCTAAATTAGTCTTTTGACCTTTAAAATATCCCATATTGTGTTTGTTTTTAAATCATTTTATTGGGGGCTCGTACAACTCTTATCACAATCCATCCATCCATCCATTGTGTCAATCACATTTGTACATTTGTTTCCATCATCATTTGCTTTCTACTTGAGCCCTTGATATCAGCTCCTCATTTTCCCCCCTCCCTTCTTTCTCCCACCCTCCCTCATGAACCCTTCATAATTTATAAATTATTATTATTTTGTCATATCTTACACTGTCT